TGGTGCCAAGGAGGTTTCTATCAGCGAGGATGGTGTTCTGCGACTCCAGGGTCGTCTATATGTTCCTAATGTCATTGGCTTGAGGGAGAGGATTCTAGAGGAGGCACACAGTTCTCGGTATTCCATTCATCCAGGTCCTAAGAAGATGTATCGCGACCTGAGGCAGCATTATTGGTGGCGGCAGATGAGTAAAGACATAGTTGAATATGTAGCTAGGTGCCTAAATTTCCAGCAGGTTAAGTATAAGCACTAGAGGCCAGGTGGACTACTCCCGCAGATGACTATACTAGAGTGGAAGTGGGAGCGCATTACTATAGACTTCATAGTTGGGTTACCGCGGACCTTGCGGAAGTTTGATGCTGTTTGGGTCATTGTTGACAGGTTGACCAAGTCGGCACACTTCATTCCAGTTGTGACTATGTATACTTCAGAGAGGTTGGCCCAGATTTATATTCAGGAGATAGTTCGGTTGCATGGTGTGCCTCTTTCCATTATATCAGATAGAGGCCCTCAGTTTACTTCGCATTTCTGGAGAGCAGTACAGAGTGAGTTGGGGACCCGTGTAGAGCTCAGCACAATATTTGATCCACAGACCGACGGGCAGTCGAAGCGGACAGTTTAGATCTTGGAGGACATGCTCAGAGCATGTGTGATTGACTTTGGAGGGCAGTGGGATCGATTCTTACCTTTGGCCGAGTTTGCTTACAACAACAGTTATCAGTCCAGCATCGAGATGGCTCCATTTGAGGCTTTATATGGTCGGCGATGTTGTTCTCCCATCGGGTGGTTTGAGCCCGGCGAGGCTAAGTTATATGGTACTGATTTGGTTAAGGATGCCTTAGAAAAGGTAAAGTTGATTCAGGAGCGACTTCGCACAGCACAGTCCAGACAAAAGAGTTACGCGGATCAGAAGGCGCCTGAATTATCATTTATGGTGGGTGAGAGGATTCTCTTGAAAGTCTTGCCGATGAAGGGGATCATGAGGTTCGGGAAGAAGGTCAAGTTGAGCCTAAGGTTTATCGGTTCATTTGAGGTGTTTAGACGAGTTGGGGGGTTGCTTATGAGCTTGCTTTACCTCCCAGTCTATCGGGAGTTCATCCGGTTTTCCACGTGTCTATGCTCCGGAGTTATCATGCCGACTTGTCACATGTGCTAGACTTCAGCATGATTCAGTTAGATGAGAGCCTGGGTTATGAGGAGGAGCCAGTTGCCATTGTTGATAGGCAGGTTCGCCAGTTGAGATCCAAGAGGATTTGCGCGGTAAGGGTTCAGTGGAGGGGCCAACCAGTCGAGGAGGCGACATGGGAGTCCGATGAGGACATGCGAAGCAGATATCCACACTTATTCAGCACTCCGGGTATGATTCTTAACCCGTTCGAGGACGAACGTTTGTTTAAGAGGTGGAGAATGTAATGACGCGACTGGTCGTTTTGCTTTTATAACTCCGTTCCCCTAAATAAGACTTCCCGTACATGTTTCTGCTGTTTTATGACTTGCTGGAATGGTTAGTTCGGGATTTGGAAGGGTTCGGGTTGAAATCGTAACACTTGGTTCCTTAAGGTTGGCTAAAAAGGCTAAGTTTGACTTCGGTCAACATTTTGTACAAAAGACTTCGGAATCAAGATTTGACGATTCCAATAGGTTCGTATAATGATTTCAGACTTGGGCGTATGTTCGGATCGGGTTTCGGATGACCCGGGAGCGTTTTGGCGCCTAATAGTGAAAGTTGGTTCTTTGAAGGTTTTTTAATTTCTTTAAATTTGGTTTGGAGTAGATTTTGGTGATATCGTGGTCCAAATGGGATTCCGATATCGGGAATAGTTCTGTAATGTCATTTAAGACTTGCACGCAAAATTTGGTGTCATTCCGAGTAGTTTAAGTACGTTTTGGCGCATTGGGAGTACATTGAAGAACTTGAAGTTCATATTTTTTATTCAGTTGGTTTGGGGTGTGATTCTTAGTTTTGATGTTGTTTTATGGGTTCCGAGCGAGTCCGTTTTATGATTCCAAACTTGTCGATATGTACGGGCGGGGCCTCGGGGGCCCCAAGGGTTCATCGGACGAGGCTCGGACCAAGTTGGAACTTGGGAGCAACAGCTGAAGCTCCCAACTTCTGGTACAGTCGCATCTGCGCTTGGCCAGCCGCAGGTGCGAGCTCGCAAAAGTAAGCCTTTTGCCGCAGAAGCGGCCCATCGTGGGCTGCCCAGTGACCGCAGAAGCGGGGCAAGTACCGCACCTTCGAAGATGCAGGTGCGAAGAAGGCCATCGCAGGAGCGGACTGAGATCGCAGGTGCGACGCACGCACCGCAAAAGCGGTCTCACAGAAGCGAGCCGCTGGTCGCAGAAGCGAGGGAGCCGGCTGAGGGGAAGGACCGCATATGCGAGGCCTTTCCGCAGATGCGGCTATTGAGCAGCAGAAGCAGAATGGTTCATTTAATACGGGACTTAAGCCGTTTCTAACCCATTTCTCTTGCTTTTTGGGCGATTTTGAAGCTTCTTGAGAGGGGTTTTCACCTAGCACTTTGAGGTAAGTAACTTCTACATAATATTAGTTTAAAACATAGATTTTTGGTAGATTTTAACATGTAAAATTACTGAAATCATAGGTTTAGGTGAAAACCTAGGGTTTTGATAAAAATAGGATTTAACCACGAAATTTGTTATTGAATTTAGTGAAAATCATATATTTGAGTTCATGAGGTTAGTACAACTTTCTTCAAAAAAATTCGGAATCCGGGCACGTAGGCCCGAGGGTGAATTTTAGGGATTCTTCAAATAGGATTGAGAAATCACTTTGATAGTTAGGATATAAACTTTTGAACATGTATTGATTAATTTATATACCATTTGACTAGTTTTGGATTGTTCAACACCAAATTGAGGGTTTAAGCACAATCTTGGACTGGAAAGTAGGCTTTGAGACGATGTAAGTCTCTTTTCTAACCTTGTAAGTGGAAATTAACCCTATAGGTGAATTGATTAATATGTGCTCCTATCTGTGGGAGCTACGTACGTACGAGGTGACGAGAGTTCGTACGTAGCTACTAATTATGCTATTGTCCGGGTAGTCTAAGACCCATATCATGCTATACTTACAATGTTTGCACCCTACTTGTTAACCTAATTGCGTAAATCATGTTGGAACTTGATAAAGGAATTTTTAAAAGGTTAAATTTCATTTACTTAAATTCTTGGACGAGTCACTTGACTGTTATTGAGAATTTGTGTTTCTTTAAATATCAGCCTCTTAATAAATCTTAAATCGGTTGTTATAAAGTATTTTCTCTTTTGTGGAGCGGGCCGAACGCCTCAGTAGCAGATAGATGCATCTATGGTTCGTGCCGTTGACCCTCGGCAGTGTAGAGTTTAAATATTTCATGTTGGATCGGGTCGTATGACCTCATCATAAATTGCGCGTAATAAATCTTTGGAACTAATTAAAAATTGATATTGCCTCATTGACTTGAGATATAAATTGTTAAATGATGGAAACAAACTTGGGATTTATTATTAGTAAGAGGATTGCCTATTATTTTCCCGTGATTTAGCTTTCAGTTATATTTATCTAATCCATGTTTAGTTATAATTTTGACATTTCATTGTTAGCCCATAGTAACTGTCAAAGTCGACCCCTCGTTACTACTTCTTCGAGGTTAGACTGGATACTTACTGGGTACATGTTGTTTATGTACTCACGCTACACTTCTGCACAAAATGTGCAGGATTTGAGGGAGGTGCATCTGGATATCAGTCCGGCGCGCATCCCTGATTCTTGAGACTTAGCGGTGAGCTGCCCTTCTAAGCTCGTTCTGCAGCATCCGGAGTCTTTCTTTTCCTTGTATTTTTTGTCTATTTCACTTCAGACAGTAGACTAGTATTCTTTTGTATATTCTACTAGATGCTCATACACTTATGACACCAGGTCTTGGCACACACTAGTAGACTTGTGATTTTGATTTACTTCTATGGTTATGATTGCACTCAGCTACTTCCGTTTTATTTATTTTAAATCTGTTATTTCTTAAATATTTTAAATTAAGGAAAGTTTAATTACTTGAAAATCTATTAAAAAGGGAAATCACGTGGTTAGTTCACTTGGGTTGCCTAGCGGTGGCGTTGGGAGCCATCACGGCCTATAATAGAATTGGGTCGTGACAGGCATGGCTTTGGTTCTGCAGCTCGTCTATCGCTGCCTGTTGAGCTTGTAGCATTTCGAAGATAACCCACAAGTTGATCCCATCACCTTCGTCGTCGTGCGTATTTTGGGCAATCGATCGGACTCCCCCGCGGACGCTGTTCTCATGATCCGTAGGCAAATTCGCATTGATGGCCACATGTGAGTTAGCATCGATCGGGTCCGTGACTGGAACTCCATTGAGATAGACAGAAGGCACCTCGTTTCCAGGTGTTATATTGTTGTTCTCGCCATAGTGATCCGACTCAGCATCCACGTTTAGAGAAGCAGATTGGGAGTTCGACATTTTAGACTTTGACCTGAAATTAAAGACACTTCAAAGAACAAGTGTAAAATCACAGCTGCAGTATAGGAGATGCCTAAAGACAAAGTAGCAGGGGTTGATGGTTCCCTGTGGAGTTTTTTACCAGAAACTGGGAGATAGTGAAAGAGGATATATTTGCAGTTGTGATAAACTTTTTTTCTACTAGCAGCCTACCTGGAATGATCAACACTACAGCTATCACACTAGTACCTAAAGTGCCAGCACCTTCAACAATTAAGGACTATAGGCCTATTGCATGTTGTACTATAGTATATAAGATCATATCCAAAGTCATTACAAGAAGGATCAAATCTGTTCTTGATGGGTTGATTGATCACTCTCAATCAGCATACATTGAAGGGAGGAGTATAATTGACGACATTCTGCTAAGCCATGAATTGTTTAAAGGTTACTCTAGAAAGGTGTCTCTCCTAGATGTGTGATGAAGGTGGATCTGAGAAAAGCTTATGATATACTCTGGAATAGAGTTTTCTTAGGAAAATGCTTATTGATCTGGGGTTTCCATTCAAGTTTGTGCAATGGATAATGAAACGTGTTACCACAGTATCATATTCCTTGGTAATAAATGGAGGACTGGCAAAGCCTTTCAAAGGAAAGAGGGGGATTAGGCAAGGAGACCCAATGCCTCCAAACTTGTTTGTTATTGTAATGGAATATCTGGGTAGAGAACTGGGACAATTGCACGAGAATGGAAACTTCAATTTTCATCCTATGTGCAGAAAGTTGAACAACACACATATATGCTTTGTTGATGATCTCTTGATGTATTGCAGAGCTGATTTTGAGTCCATCAAGATCCTAAATTCTGCCTTCCACAGATTCTCAGTTGTCTCCGGCTTACAGGCAAATGTCAACAAAAGTGCTATATACATGGCTGGAATTTCTCAAGTTAAAAAATAGGAAATCCTTGCAACATTGGGTTTCACTGAAGGAATGCTTCCATTCAAATACTTGGGGATTCCTTTAGATTCTAAGACGTTAGCAGTCTATCAATATTTACCTCTTATTGAGAAGATAACAACAAGAATCGCATGCTGGTCAGCAAAACTTCTATCTTATGCCGGTAGGTGTCAACCGATAAAGGATGTTATATTTGGAATTTAAACCTATGGGGCGCATAAGCAATTGAAGCAATATGCAGAACATTCCTATGGACCGGTACTGCTACTATCTCAAAGAAGGCACTAGTAGCTTGGGAAAAAGTGTGCAGACCAATAGCTGCTGGAGGACTCAATATACTAGACATAAAAATATGGAACAAAGCAGCAATTGTAAAACATCTATGGGACATAACAAGGAAGAAGGACTGCTTATGGATAAGGTGGGTACACAGCTTCTATATAAAGAACAGGAACTTGGAAACAATGGCTACCCCTAAGACAGCATCTTGGGTGGTGAGAAAGATACTAGACAGTAGAAATTTGATCATGGAGCATCAACAACTCCAAGGAAACATACACAGCAGGCTGCAGACAATGTGCAAAAATGCAAAATTTCAAATTAAGCAGATGTACTTAAAGCTGATACCAGATTACCCCAGAGTTGAATGGAAGAGTTTGATGTTGCACACAAATATACATCCGAGATATAGATTCACCCTTTGGCTTGCAGCACAACAGAGGTTAGCTACAATGGAAAGATTATTGAAGATTGGCATTCAAGTTCCTGCAGCTTGTGTATTCTGTGGACATAGTCTAGAATCCTTTAGCCACTTATTCTTTGAGTGCACAAACACAAAGAAATTGTGGTCCAGACTATGCTTATGGCCGGGATATAAAAGAGACATTGGAGGTTGGGAAGCAGAGTTGAAATGGGCATGCATGAAAGCTAAGAGCAGAAGAGGTTCAAATGCTATAACTAGTTGTGTTTTGCCATAACTGTTGCACTGATTTGGAGGGAGAGAAACAGAATCAGATTTGATAAAGCTAAGTTTGACGAGCTTTAACTATGCAGAGAGATAGTGCTACACATACATATCAGAGGGAAGAGCATAGGCAAATGGAAGGAAGCATTGCAGCAGCTGGATTGGATTCCAAGATGAAACTAAGAGTAGAAACTTTGAGGTAGTTGGCTAAACAAGTGTCTGTACTGTGAAGTAACATAAGATAGATAGGCACAAAGTGGTAAATAGCAGAGTGTGATGTAAGTGGGAGTAGCCTGTCAAAGATGCTCCTCGGACTCAATTGTACAAAATTTTGAGTATCAATAGAATATAATTTTAACTCAAAAAAAACAAGTGTAAAATAGGATGTGTTATGGAAGTTTGTATCAAATAGCCACTATTGTCCTTAGCCCCACGATGGGCGCCAAACTGTTTACCCTCAAAATCGGATAACAATTAAATTTGTAAGTAGTTTTAAGGATACGCAGATTAATTTGATACAAAACGATAAATTGAGTTAGATTGAATAAATAATGATATAGTAAATTCAAACCACGCGAGGAGGATGATTCCAGCCTTAATGAAATATTCACCCTCGATCCGGGCTTACAATGGCCAGTACTGATGAACAAGAAAAAGAGCTTTCAATAACAGTGAAAATAGTTGTATATCGCTTTGGAATGCATGTTACAATGAATTATCAGACCCCCTTTATATAGTAGAGGAATTCTAATCTAGGTACAATTCCGTAAAAGGTAAAAAATCTTCTGTTTAACTAATTGCCGGTTCTTCATTGATACGTGCTGAGATCCACGCCATGATATCCGGCCGGTCGCTGATACTTCGGCCTTCTGTTGGTCGTATTTGATTGTCCGACAAAGTTTTTCGGAGTCTTTCGGGGTTCGGACCGATCCCGGATCATGACCCCGATATTCTCGAGGGCGAGCATCATGCCCCTGGACTCTGACTCGATGAGACCCCTGCCTTGACTCCGATCCCTCGTCTTCAAGTCTCGAGCTCGATTTATCCGATCGAAGATCGGGGTGTACCACGAGCCATGTTTTACACGTATACAAATAGTACTATTCTGGTTAAGACAAACTAAAAAGAAAAGCTGAGAGACATAAGTTTTGAGAAGTACTACTCATCAAACAGAAATCCAATCACATTAAAGATTATGATGGATTGATGAGTATTTCTTCACTCTTAATTAAATATGCCAAAAAATAAATAAATAAATGGAAATTGCTATGAACAATAAAAGAAGAAGAAGAAGAATATTGCAGAGAAAAGTAGGGAGAGAGAATTCTTATTGATAGGAAAAGAGTGACTTAGCCACCAAGTAAAATCCCTAAAATTTCTCTAAAATATAAACATTCACCTTAAATAAAACTCTATTTATAACACTCCCCCTTGAATTTATATTCAACGGATAATGTACCTCGTTAAAACCTTAACTAAAATAAAACCCCATTGAAAAAAATTCTAGAGAAGGAAAAAGAGTACACTTGTTTAGAAATACGCCTTTTGGCTGCCTCGTTAAAAACCTTGTAAGGAAAACCCAGTGGGACAAAACCTTGTAAGGGAAAAGAGTACACGCGTATTAACTCCCCCTGATGAGAGCATCAATTCACATCCTTGAGCCCTCTCATTCCAATCTTGTGCACCATTTTCAAAAGATCGTTGGTATAGATTTGATAAACAAATCAGTCATATTAACTTGAATGAATATATTGCACCTTGAAATCATCATTCTTGATAGATATATAATGTCTTCATATAATGTGGTGGAATGGCTCTTCAATATCTCCATAGATATTCTCGCTATCATATTATTATGCTTATAATTATAGCAAGATACATATGTGCACAAACTGCACTTAGGATGTGGTACGTCAGAACCAAGAATTGTATATGCTTTAAGCGATTTAAATTCTTAAGAGATTGTCATATAAGCCATACAAATCGACTTTAGATGCATATCAAGTTTAAATGTCATGCTAGACATATAAGATGAATAAAGGTGATTGCACACACCATTGACTTTATACTTTCAAGTGTTTGAACTGAAGGTCCAAAACTATATGTCTTTCATATGAAACCAAATTCTACTTGAATTGTTTCTCCAGACTTAAGATCCTCATATATATTAGCAATATTATCGATGTCGTCGACAAATATTTTGTATCGGTTCTAACCTCCTTATTTTCATATAGACATAATATAGAGATCTCTTCATCATATATCAGGTACCTGAATCTCTCCTGAGATTTTATGAAGTGTTATGTCATGTGATCTTCTAGATCACTTTCCTCCTTATTATGATCATTTGCTCATCTTCTTTATCAAGAAGTTTATTTGAAACCGATTTGTCTATACGCTTTAAGCGTACCACAAACTATGTCCTTCTAGGACTTATTCTAATAGGAGTATTTGCATTGAGAATATAGTTACTTTCTTTGGATCAGCAAATGCGTCTGGTATGCTTTGCAATATATTGCAAATTAATTATCTTTTTATGAACTTCAAGTTCATATTATCTCACTACTACAAAAAGGGCATTTGGCGGCAATTATTTAACGGCAATAAGTCAATTGCCGCTAATAGATTCTATAAGCTGAAATATTAGCAGCAAATGACCATTAGCCAGTAAAAAAATATCCTTTTACCGACAATAAAAATAAATTGCCATTAAAAGTTACTAATTGACTTTTAGCGAATAAGTTTTTCTTTTATTTTAACTTTCCCTCCCTGCCCAAAAAATAAATCTTTCCTCCAAATTTTTTGGACAAAGAACGAACAATTCCCTCCAATCAGAAAAAATAGGAAAACCTATTCCTTCATTGAATGGGATACGATTAACAGAATCTCACATATAGGTCTCCGCCTCCGGCGATTTTTTATTCTTTCATTGAACGGGATACGGAAGAGACGCGAGATTAACAGAATCGCACATATAGGTCTCCGGCCAGTTTTTCCCCCCAGATAACTGCTCTTCTTCCCCAGGTATCTTCGTTTTTCACCCAGCAGACGCGATTAACAGTGGAGTTAGGATTGTGCTGCTCGATTATGCTCTATCGTAGTTGTTAGTATTCCCTGTTTTATCCGTTTCCCACTTCTCTTTTCGTGTAGGTTTCAAGATCACTGCAGAACTCATTCTTCTCCTTCAATTTCTTGTCTTTATCGGCAAAACAATCTTGTTACCAGGTACAAATTCGTGCCTTCAAGTGTTGCGATTTGAGGTTTGCGAAAGTATAGTTTTTTCTGCATATGCCAGTCGTTTGTGATATCCGACTGTTGTTAAATTGACGTGCGATGATTGGGTTTATTCCTCTTCTGTTCCTTGACTATTTTATAATTTTGTTCCTCTGTTTTCTGCTATTCTTGTAATTATTCAGAAATTTTATAAGTGTCGCCAATACATATTGATGTTTTCATTGAATCTACCACTAGTCGAGACATGAATCCTCTGTATGTTTTCTGTTATTCTTGTCATTGTTCAAAAATTTTAAGTGTCGTCGATGCATATTGATGTTTTCATTGAATCTACCATTAGTCGAGATGTATTCCTCTGTATATTTTCTGTTATACTTCTCAAAAAGCTGCCAATCAAATGCAAAGGTGATGGTTCCTTTGATCTATATAAATGCTAAAAGTGGAATTGAGTATTGAAAGAAAGGAAAGATACATGTCTTACACAGTAAAGAACAACATTATAGTCTTGAGATCTGAAAACCTACAATCCGACAGCAGATCAGTATGCTAGACAATAAGATGTTTTCATTGAATCTACCACTAGTCGAAATATGGTCGAAATCCATACCTCTACCTAGTGCCCTAGAAAAATATAATAAGATTGTAGCATGGTATATGATTAAGTGATTTATGATAGTCAGATGCAAAGTACCAGCAACCAAGCAGAAAGTTAAATTCTTCTTTCTTTGAATTAATTAATATTGCATAAATCAGCTTTTCCTGATGAAACCTAAAGAGGACTAGGGTTATTCAAGATATACAGAAGTAACACTGCATATGTAGCAACTATTATAAGGGAAGATCAACTTAATTTGTTGTTATGAACAGAATCTCACATAGAGCTGAATAGTCGTGGATGAATCCACATAGATGTGATGCTTTTAATAACAAAACTCAGGTAAAATCAAAATGATAGCATTGCCATTTGTAATAACAAATGTTTCCCGCTATTTCACCTAACACTAAGAAGAAAACACGCAGGAAAGAACAAAAGAAGTGAACCTTAGTAAACTAATAAATATGTTTAGATAAGTAAATTGCCAATGAAACAATGCCTGAGCTACATATGTCTTTTCATTGAAACATGCCTTTGTGTGAGTCGAGAACTTATATCTTTACTCTCATAGGGACTATGCCAGGAGGTGACAACAAATGCGCGTGCGTGTGTGTGTCACTGTGTATCACCAGAAAACTAAAGTAACAAACTAGATACTATAACTTATAAGCTTCGATTTTCCCCACCCATCCCAAAATAAGTAACAAATAACATAATAAAGCTTCCCTCCACCCTTCTTGCCCTTTCTCGAGTTGGGGGTTCTGTTCTTCAGAGATTGATGGTCTACATAGTGTTTTCAAAATGTTGAATTTGGTACTATGCTTTAAGCTAAGTTGAAGCTATATCTAATGGATAGATAAATCTAGATTATTACTTTTTGAGTTAGCAAACAATAAGAGAGCGTAGCAACCAACAACTTAAATTTCCAGTCTCAATTTACTAGCGTAGTGTGTGAGATGCACGTAAAAACTTTATGGCATTGGTTACATAATTGAACTCTCATGACTGAAGCTGTTTAAAGGGGATAGGATAGACGTAAAATCTCGTGAAAGGAAGTGTCCTCAAATACTTGCAATCTCTGGGAGTTCATACTAAGCAAGCAAAAAGAATGCAATGGAAACAAAAAATCCACATACAGGGTTAAAGCTTAGTCGTGTCCGTCACTTACATGTTATGTAGGTTTCAATTTCATATACATGAGAAAGATAAATTTTTTTATAGAGGAATGATTCCCTTGTTTGAGAACAACATTTGTGTACTATTCCTAATTTTGGGAGAGCACAATGATCAAATTCTAATTTTTCACACAAATTGAAGTATATCATTGAGGTCTACGAGACCAGAAAAAAATTATGTATTAAAAAAATTATAATT